AAAATACCCCCATCACTATTTTTTCCGAAACCACCAATATCAACACATATAAATTTATAGTCCGGGCCAACAATGGCCATAAGTACTATTGAATATTTATGTAAATAGCACCAGTAATTGGAGCCACTGTTGTTAGGTCTCTTGATTGTTATATGTTTACCGTCCACGCTGCCAATGCAATTGGGAAATCCCCATCTATTTTCAAATTCTTCAGCACATTTTTTCCATATATTCTCTGTTGGCTCTGGTAAATATATATGTTCCATATGTCTGCATATCGCTTCACAGACTTCGGTTACGATTGCACTCACTGTTGTAAAGCCAACTCGAAAGCTATGCCCAATGGTATAGAAGGTGTCACCAGTGGCAAGGAATCTATAAAAAAAATCGTTTTTAGGTGATGAAGTAAAAAAAAGGTGGAAGAATATCAGAGACACATTTGCACAATATATAAAATCTACCAAACCAAAGACCGGCCAAGCAGTGGGCAACATAAAGAAATGGCAGTGGGCTGATTACATGGAATTTTTCCGTCCTTTTTTGGCATTTGCCAAAACGTCGTCTAATGTGAAAGATATTGACGTCATACATTATGAGACTGCCGAATTTAACTCAAATATATATCAGGAAAGGGTTGGAAATGTTGAAACCGAAAATTTGGAAGACCGCGGCCATGGAGAAGATGAAAATGCTGATGTAGATGCAGAAGATGCACAGAACGCCTCGGCAACACAGACAGCACCACCTTCTTCATTGAACACTACAGCAGTGACTACTCCAGAGCACACCTTTCCGCCGACTGCAACTACACCAAAATATAAAACGAGCAGAAAACGCTATGAACCACCATCTTCGTCTGTACAACAGCTCATTAATTATTTTGAAGGTAAAAAACATTAAAAAGGGAACGAGGCCATTGATTCAGTTTTCTTGGCACATGCACAGACTGTGAAAACACTTCCCTTAAAGCGTCAAGCCCGAATAAAACTAAAAATTGCCGAATTAATAGCGCACGAAGAATTTGAACATATTGAAGAAATGTCTCCAGCGTCTACCCAGAATTCTGCAAGTATGTAAATGATAGTAGTATGTCGTCCTTCCCAAGCGGCACTGGGATTACTCCAATAATATACCCAACACAGGAGGCAAATTCTGCCTCGAATTATTTAGCAACATTTAATCCTAGTGGCAACATGTAGTCCAATTATTACAATAAAATATTTATTTCACGGTCCCTGAAGTTTTCGTATTCGATAAGCCTACTAATTTTAATACATATAATTTTTTTACCTGAGTGTAATAGCAAGTCGTTCTTCTGGCGAAATAGCTTCACGATAATTTGTGTCAGATTTTCGTATTTCATCTTTCACCAAGTTCAATATTTCATCGAAACACTCTGGAGTCATTCTAAAATATACGTAAAAGCGCTGTTCATCCAGGCGAAGTTGTGGCATCAAGGTATGGTATTCCCCAAATTTATTTCGTTCCAAGTTAATATCATGTACCCACTTCCTTCGTTTCCTAAACAAAATTGAAAATATTTTTTTTTGTACTTCGTTAAACTTAATACATACCCAACTATGAAATGGCGTTAAATAAACATAACTTACCGTGCATTTTGTTCCTCTTCTAAAGCAAGAAATAGAAGTGCCTCCTCTTCTTCTGAAGACGAGCTCATTGCAAAAGGCAAAAATAAAATGTACGCAACCTGTCGAAACCTTCACGTTCGCGGAGCGAATAAGACGCTTTGGTATGAATAAACAGGCGAAACAGATTGCGAATTTCGCTCTGAATTTCGTTGCGAATTCTTCGCCGCCATTATTTCGCACCGGTTTGTGGGATGCTTTACTCATTATAGGAATTCAGTTCGAGATGCCATTATTTCGTCGTGCCAATAACCGTCCTGAATCAAGAGCATATGACTGCTAAAGATGAACCCTAGACGATCAAAAATGTAGTATAGCAACTCTTATATCACAAAACTCTTCCTATAGCGACAGTTTCATGATAGGTATTTTAAAGCAATAACTAGAGACTACAGAATCCCTAGAGATCGATTGTTAAAAGCTGCTACGTCGTTGGTGGTGTGTAATAAAAGTTTACTTAAATGAGAGTGAGAATGTATCGAAGCTTCTGTACTACGTGTAATGAAATGCTTGGGTTATGGGTAATGAAGGCAACACCTTTAAATCGTAAATAACGTTTATGATGTAACTATAGGCTACACGTGTGCGATAAATAACAAAGCAATATCTGGGTTATGTTCTCCAGACGATCGTTAGGGGTTGAAGATGGTCATATTGTATGTATGAGGTACATATGAACAGTTGATCACAGAAGTTGTAGACCATCCACCGTAAACAATATTTCATTTGGTGGTCATTTTATGCACTCTACTTGCCAAACAGATGGCAAGTTCCGGGGATTATACTTGGATAGATTATCATCGCTACAAACATATGAAAAGTGTAGATAGAGATGAGAAGTCCCCGACGTGTCGCAATTAGAGTCGAATCAGGGGTTGATCTGAATGTTGTGAAATCCGTGGCTAGTAAACGTTCAACAAATCTGCAAGGGTATAGTATAATTAAAAACATTTTGAATTGGACATCCATTTCACGACAACCAACTCCACCCCTAATTCGACTGGACTATAGCAGCACACGTCACTGACCTGCGCTATACTGCGCCTCAACATCCGTTTGAGCTAGTTGTAAAATTGTTTCGTTCTAATGTCTTCTGGTTATTTTTTTTTCCAAAAAGCTTGTGTCTTGAGACAAACTAGAGACTCCCCGACGCACCCGAATTTGTTATATACGTACACCTTTTGTTTTCGAAAAAATCAATATCAGGGGCGATCTTTTTTTAAAACTTGGAGTTTCCCTCACAATGTGGAATATTCAACGAACGCTATACTTTTTGTGTGTTGCTGTTCAAAATGTATGCGCACAAAAAAGCGTTGATTATTTAATAATAAGTCGTGAAATATATTTTGCCATCATTTCGTCTGGTAGGCCTTAAACATAAGATACGAGTACATAACTTTTGGACACTTGTAGAGCCTGTTATGTTGATTACTGAGTTTATGTGACAACAAAACGTTGGGTTTGAGTATTGGTATCTACTGGCTGACAATGCTAGACGAATAGGTGTTACTGACAAAGAAATAATCATGACCATTAAACTTTGAACCAGCCATAGTCGAATCATATTAGCAAATTTCTCCAAAATAATGGTAAAGTCTGGATTTATTGATGCAAGTTGTTCAAGGAGATATTTAAAATATGGACGCATAAAATGGGTAAACCAATTTTTGTGGGAAAACTTTTATTTCACAACAAAGAATGAAAAAAGGTGTTTTTTGGGAATAAATCGAAAGTGTTGACAGAAACTGAAAAACTTTTCATATGAGATTTTTAGGTATTTATGAGACCTACAAAATGAGGCCACACGTGAAAAATTCAACAAATAACAAAAATGTTTTGTCCGAAAAACGAGGCAAAATGCACTTGTTGGTAATGCGACGATAATTTCACGCAACTACTAGTTTATTGATGTATATATACAGAGTTCGTTCAAAGAGTATTTAATAGCAAAATACACGTGTTTGACTTGCTGATATGAATCACAAATCATTCTGAAAGATAAATGTTACTTTTACGCGAAAAACAAGGGTTGCGTTTTTTCTTCTAAACAAATTTAAGCATTTCGTATTTGTGAGTAGTTGAACAAATGCGCCATGATATTCGAAAAACTACTATACATATCTTGAAACAAAGCGAATGTGTTTATAATCTTTTGTTGCGAATTTGTTTAGAAGAAAAAACGTAACACATCCTTTTTTGCATAAAAATAACATTTTTCTTCCGGAATGGTTTGCGATTCATATCGGCAAGGTAAACCAGTGTAATTGACTATAAAATGCCCGTTGAACTAACCCTGTATACTGCTCAATAAGCCAGTAGTGATGGCCTGAAAACAGGTGGTTTGGGATAAACAATTATTATAAATTCTCAAAAACTACTTGACCAGTCTACTCCAATTTTGTAGCGGTTATTTAGAAGTACGAATCCTACAAATTTGAAGTATTTAAAGTATCTGCGAGGAACCATCGTTGCATTACCAACAAGTGCCAGAACCTGCAGTTTTCCTCGGTTTTCGGCCATAACTTTTTTCCTATCAGTCGGATCTTTTTGTAGGTCTCCTAAAAATCTTATTTGAAGAGTTTTTCCGTTCCTGCCGACACTTTCGATTGAATTCCAAGAAACACGTTTTCTCATTCTTTGTTGTCGAGTAAAAAGTTTTCGCACAAAAATTGGTGTACCCATTTTATGCATCAATGTTTTGAATACCCCACTGAACAACTTGCAGCAATGAAACCAGACTTTAAAATTATTTCGCAAACCAGGGGTATTTTCGTTTAATATGTTTTGGATATTAATTTGTTTCTTGAACATGGAATGTACATATTGAAAAGTGAATCATCTCAACATTTGTATATTGAATATCGATCTTACTTGAACCATCTTGAAATTTCTTATTTATGGAGATACCGATAGTTTATAACTATTTTACACTGATACCGATAGTTTGATGTTTCAAACAGTGCACCGCATTTGTAAAATAGTGATGAGAAACCTCCAAGTAGTGAATTTTTATATGTTCAATGGCATGAAAACCTCACGAAGCTCTATAGGCTTCTACTGATCGTATTTGTACACAAGCAAGTTTTAATTCCTAAGTAGTTCAGTACTTGATTAGTACTCTATGTGGGCGTGGGGTTTGTTCAGCATGAACCAGAAATTTGTGCATTAGACGGACAATCTCATTGCGTCTAAAAAAGTTTATAACCTAATCATGCTGTCAATAATCCATAATCAACTGTCAAATGTCATTAGTCAAGCTAATCACTATAAACCGCTTTGTCCCAATAGTTAGTTGCAATGTAATTATAACACTCACTAAATCAAAGAAGAAGTGTTGAATGATGAGCTACTCACCCCCTCCATTTTGCTGACAGAGGTAGGGGAACCTCCAGATATTCCCGAGACCCACGGAGTATCCGATAATTGACAAGAAGAACTGCATTTTGCCGGACCACGCGGCTCGGTTTGGATCCTGGTCGACCGCATTGCTACCCCTGCTGATGATGGAGCCCCTAGGGCCTTGCAGCACAATGGTCACCCCTTGTTTTCCTCCACCTTCACCTCCATTTCTGGTGTTGAGCGGAGCCAGCTCGTGACCGTTTTTCGTCATTTCCGATGCGTTTTTTGAAGTCATTTACAATTTTTTTTATTGATCACGAACAAGAACGCGTGGTCGCGGTTTTACCCCATCTTCACTACGTGCGAACCGGGGTGGAGTGAAGAGCCGTCTAATTTCGCAATCGGAATATCGTACAGTGTTGTCAAGTCTACACGGAGTTTTTCGCCATACTATAATAGGAATTAGTGATTTTTGGTGGACGAAAAAATTGCAGTAGATAGCTATCATGGTGCGCAGCATGGATTAGGGTATCTGCCTCCTTGTAGATAATTTTTTAGATTTCTAATTTATACATCTTAAAGTGAAAACTTCAAAATAAATAAATGTCAACTGACAGTAAAGTAAGTAAGCAAACTTTTGATTCCAAAGGCAACTTGATATTACTTTGTGTTTGTTAAAATTAAAGCCAATGAATTTTTTGCCAAAACTTCTAGAATATACGTTGTTATTGCAATAAGTTTGTGCTGTAGTTACAACTCGTTAAAACCAGAGGTTTGGGTGATATTCGCAGCCATTTTAGAAACATTTGCAGCAGCAGTCCGATTTTGATTCCAGTAATGGAAACTGAACTTCCTTGTACATTTTTACATGAACGATTGTTAGTTTCACCCGTCAGTACTGTGCATCGTTATCCAGCACTATAAAAGCTCATTCTGTCATTTGTTGTCAAAACTTGAAATGACGTGATTAATTCTTGACATGGTGCTTTCAAGCCACTTATAAGCATACGACTGTATGATAAATGAACAGACTCCGGATTTAACAAGTAAAATCGGTGCTTTGATTCGTTGTTCGTATCGTATTATTTCACATCTGATTTGGCAAGTCTTGCTTGCTGAATCCTAAAGGCGGCAACTGACTGAAGTTCGGGATTTGAGTCCAGCGAATGTTGCTCCACATTTTTCTGCTGCAGTCTCCGTCGAAAAATCAGGTCTACTTATAGAATATAATATGAACGGACTATTGCAACCTAATAAAAAAGAAAAAAAAATAGAAAAGGAGGTGGCAAACAGATTTATTTAGAGAAAGAGATGTGAATCGTGGTTTTTGTACGATATAAATCAATAAAAAAATAATCTTTTTTCCTGGAACCACTCCATTAATAACGTGTGTTCAGACCTCTATCTCAACTAATAAAATAAGAAGACGGCAGAGACTGTGCTCAAAGACGAACTAGTCGCCACCTGTACTGAGTTGTAATGTAGTCATCAACGGGATTCGTAAAAAAACTGACAGTCAGGTGGAGCAAGATTTGATCGACTGGAGCGGCTCTGTTCGGAGCTCGCTTTAGCGATTCACTAAGTGAATGTTTGTGTTATATCACATTACAGTGTTCGGCTTCAGTCAGTGGCCACCTTAAAGGATGGAATCATTTGAAAGAAAAACAAAACATCGCTTCTACCTTATTAAACGCAAATAATCCAAGTAGAGGCAGGCACATCAATCTGTACTGTGTACCGTAGCTATACCGCAGTTTTAATGCCCAAAGATGTTGATAGCTGCTTAGGTATACCTTCACACTATTTACTATAGGGTTTTCACGGGTTTTTCACAAGACCTGACACCACCGTATGAAAAGCTCTCGGGCGGAAAAATCAATAATCGGCATGTGTACGTCGCTGGTAGTGCGCAAGAGCGGCATCCGCGCGAACACTCTGAATGTGACTGGATTCCGAAAACGGGAGACGAGACGGGATACGACTGGATGGGGATCGGGAATATCGGGAATCTGTTGAGGTACACACCGCCGCGTGCCGCGTGGCTAATGGTGGTGGCGGCAACGGGAGATGCTGCCGACGCGATGACGTCGGTAAGGTTACAGCCGGATGGCGCTTATAGGCCAGGGAGACTATTGTAACTCAGTTTTGGTTGACCTGAGATACAGTCATTAGAAGATCTTCTGATGAATTTTCGTTCTCGACGATCTCTTCAAAAATATGTGGCACGTTGCAGTAATTCTTGTACATAGAAGGTTATAAATGGTATTACAATACAAACCTAGCCAAAATGACATTTTTTTTTAATAAACGTTGTTGACTTACTATAGTCTTCGTTGGATCAGTTAAAAAAAGTACTCTTGCTCTAGACTTAGTAGGATATTTGTTGAAATTTTACAGTACTTTTTGAACAAATTATTGGTCGAAAAAGACCTCTTTAATGCCAATCTGAGACACACAAATTATATTCATCTTCGTATTCTCCACTATCATCGTTCTCAATTCCTGAATTTTCAACCCTGTTAATATTATGCCCTCTTTCTATTTTTTATCTTCCTGGCTTTTAGAGAAGAATGCAAAGTAGGTAAGCCTCAGGAATGCTAAGGAGAATGTTCGCTTTTGACTTACATATGTCTAATAAACCATTTAATTGTCTAGCATTTACTGGAAGCAAGCTTGTATACAGCAAAGGTAGTTCCTGAAGCGTATTGTTTTGCGGTCTCATTCTGTGATAATCAATGTTACTATTATGAGATCATCAGCATAGTCACACCTATATTTCAAATTTTCTTCACAATCGTCTTTGTTCCAATTTTCCGATTTTAGCTTTTATTTAAAACTAATGGATCCACGACCAACCGCAGACAGGGCTCTTTAGCCCTCACCAGTACGATATAGGTCTGTATCAGGTCCAGACTTGGAGATGAAAGAATGAAAAGCAAACACGTGAGTGTCGTCTTAGCAAAACCGAGGAACGTAGTAGTTGAATTCTTTGTTAAACTATTATATTTGTTGCTATGTTTGAACCTTTTTGTTGTGTTAAAAGAATTCATCACTCTATATGAACCAAACTTGCCTGAATTTAACGGTTCAGCAACTGCACTTAGCTTCTTCGCATCTGCCAGAATTATTTTGGTTCTTGAATTCATTTTAGTTCGCTTTGAAAACTGCTATTTTCATATAGCTAATACTTGAAACGTTTTCGCTATTAATTACCATAATCTCAAACTATGCCGCGAAAATCATAGTAAGTAAGACGGTCTAATAGTACGTTTGGCTTTCCGTGTTTTTTCGCATTGAGGACTGAAGTAAGTCGATTTGTTGTGGTTTTCGTGGTAGCAACCGCCACTATTATACTTACTATATGACGTAGAAGATTTACTGGTTGCCTAGAGCTGCATGACAGAGATACCAAAGAGAATTTGATAAAGTATATCCATACCATATAGTAAATCAAAAGCAAGGATTTTCGAGATACTATAGTCTTCGTTGCTTAAGCAAGGCTTCATATTTATTTATCTACCAGTATATACACTATCCGAACGGTTTATTATACCATTTAACGGATAGGGACACAGGAATCTATTTTAAGACAAAATTGTTCTAAAATAACTTAAAATTGTCAAATGACCTACTGTTATGTAAGTTAAGGTACGCAACTTACAAAAGAACAAATCTACAGCGTTTCTTGCACGTTCATAGTTTTTTCATACTACATATATCGGAGAGGAAAGCAACACATTGGTTTCAGCTACGTTTAAGTAAAAGGATTTGGAATTGGATCGCGTATTAGCATTAGGTACATGAATAAGAATCTTACCGAGTAAATATTCACAATCTATAGCATTATTAAGCATTTTATATCAAAATGCACAGGCAGCGTAGTTTCTGCGCTTCTCCAAGTTACATAGGTTATATCTGCTAAGTAATATATTATGCCTGAAGCCAACTTCTGGATACGTACCATCTATCTTCCTTGTGCCACAAATATTTCACAAACCGCCTCTGAATACGTTCAATTTTATTCGAGTAAACTTCATGAGTAGGATACCATATTATAGAGCAGTATTCAATTTTGGAACGAACAAATCAATTTTATAACGAGATCATGGTATACACATTATTAAAATCTCTACAATTCCTGATAATGAAGCCCAAACTCGTATAGGCCTTGCTAACAACAACATCAATATGCGAAACAAATGTAGGGTTGGTATCAGGTCATGAAACTCTTCACACATGTTAAGTTGCGAATTATCAGTGTTATATATGAATCTGATTGGAACAAGTTTGCGCCTAATAGACATAATGTAGCATTTATCAACATTAAGGTACAGCTTGTTACGGTAACACCACTTATTTAGGTTGCTCAAGTCGTTTTGCAATACATTACAGTCGTCCATGGCTTCAATTTTACAAAAAATCTTCAAGTCATCTGCATACAGAAGACAGCTACTGTGTAGATTCCCAACGAAAATTTGGAAAAGCAAAGGGCCAAGAGCAGACCCTTGAGGTACGCTGGAAGAAGGTATAATCTTAGTGGAGTGTATTCGACTTTCAAGCATCTGTTTGAAAGATAAGATTTGAAAAAATTCAAGAATTGATGGGTCAACCTTCGCGTAGCTTTAACAGAATACCGTGATCTAGCTTATCAAAAGCCTTTGAAACGTCAACGTAAGCAATATCTACTTGCCCCCCTTCATCAACAACTTCAGAGCAAAACTGTTTAAAACACGCTAGATTAGTTAAAGTAGATCTGCCTTGGAAAAAAACATGTTGATTTGTAGAAATGTCCTGCTTAACAAGGGAGAAAATTATATCATGCAATATACATTCGAAAATCTTACCAACGTTGCTTATAATCACAACAGCTCTATAATTCTCAATGACACAACGTTCGTCTTTTTTAAATATGGGAGCAATCCTAGATGTTTTCCAAGCCATGGGGAATGTAGTAGTATTAAGAGATGTGTTATATAGATAAGCTAAAGGCTCAGCTAAAACAAAAGCACAGTCTTTTAGTAAAATGCAGAAATTAGATCTTTAGTGGAAGATACCTTGGGTTTAATCTCTTTCAAAGCGGCAATAACCTGTTTCTCAGTAATTATTGGTATATTCAACGCTAATCAGGCGCAGTCAGGTGAGTTTGCGGGTGTAAAGTTTGTGGAAGGTGAGTATGCGGACTGGAAAAAATCTGCAAAAGCGTTGACAATATCTTGTGGTTTGTTAAGTTGAGTTTTATCAAACATCATGGTATCAGGGATATGAGAAGTATTTTTCAAAGAATCAATAAGAGACCAAAATCTTTGAGGGTTAGTAGCTATGTCCTGTTCAATTGTCGTGGTATACTTTTGAAATGCAATATCAATGCTAATTTTTATGTTTCTTCGAAGATTTCGAAAAGCGTCGCAGTCAATAGGATTACAAGTTCTTTTACACTATTTCCATAATCTTCGCTTTTTCTTGATTTTAGAAATAATAGTATTGTTGAACCAAGCATGGTAAGAAATGTTCATGCTTCGGTGATGTTACTAAGGGAATTTAGAGGAGTGAAGTCTAGAGCAGCGATGTCGTTATACAATGTGTGCATGTTGGCTCTTCTATAAATTGTATTCAGGACTTGCATTAACGTCAAAATTGCCGAATTCGTCTTCCATAGAAAAAATATATCAAGCGGAGGATGATAGCTATCAACTGGAAGCAAAATATCTGAAGCCAAGTTCACCTTCAATGCATTTTCACTGTGTACGAAATGTAGAATCCAGTTGTTTGAGTTTTGGGCAAAGTTGTGTTGAGACATATTCAGAAAATTGATCAGATTATCTTTTATTAAGATGGAGAAGCGAGCATGTGATGGTAGATGTGTATATGTGTGGATGTGTTTCGGTGTGGTTAACTGTATGAAGGCTCGTCCACAGAGAAAAGTATTTTTGTTCTTCGTCTGTGGGCTCGTCGGTGTGGCTTCGCGTCAGTTGCTTTCTGCCGCTCTTCACCTCCTCACCGGTGCTCCCCTCCCACCGAAATGTTGACATTTTAAGGTGTAGATAAATTTTTTCTGTGATATCGATGGTTCATGCTTATAATAGCTTAAATCAATAAATTCCTAAATATTGCATGATATAATGCATATGCAATGAAATGTAGTTTTTGTAAAATTGGTGTAAAACAGGGCATTTTCTTACCTACCCTACTTATGCGAGGCTGGGTCTTAACGGCCATTTGTGATCGAGAATCTGTCCTTTTTGTCAAAAATATTATCATTTGAGTGTATTTTGTATAACACGATTTTGGCAATATATGTATTTGAATTTGAATCTGAATATATCAATAAAAAATATAGGATGATCTGAACTTTCAGACAAAAAATGTACCACATTCAGAATGTTACCAAAAAGACTATAAACTTTAAGGTGAGCTGTCACTCCCATCAAAACTAAGCTGATCTAAATAGAGATCCGCGTTTCGCATGCATATGCACACTGCTGGTGATATCTGACGTAGCTTCACAGAGAAAAGGTTTTTGTTTTTGATAAGTGTTCAGTTATCTATGTCCATTGGTTGTCTTCTAAGGTATACAAACAAAAGCATTAACTTGTTATTGTCAAGAAACGCTTTTCGCAGGGTAAGTGCCTTCCTTCAATAGCCCTTTAAAACTTAGAGGTAAGCAACAATTATCTTTAGACTTTGGTTTATTAAGCGAATATGCTAACAGGAGTTTCTTAAAATTACTTTCTCACAAACCAACAGTTACCTGGGGGCCATCTTCCTGGAGGATTGAAACTTCCAACAAACCCCATGCCTGACAAGTTCCCTTCGCGTCTCCAATCTTGGAATCCAACCGACCCGCTCACGGACAGAAACCAGACTGTTCTGAAATTCCCCCCTGATTTTTCATTTTCCTAAATTGCTTATTGTTTCAATTGAAGACGCAAGTGGATAACGGTGTCATGTAACCAAATTAT